TTAAATCAGCGGTCGTGATTAACATAAATGTTCTTTCGAACAACCGGAACGCGTGAAAAAAATATGCATGCAGTTTTTTATAAATGCACACATCAAGTTTGCAGCTATTGAACAATAAAAAATAGCTATCAAACTCACTCAAACAAAATGAGGTAAACAAATGAACAATTATATTATATTTCGAAAAACTCTGAATTTGGACAGAGAATAAACACTAAAAAAACAGAAATGCAAAGATGAGGACTGGATCCGAAACAAACGTTGTCTGTCATTTTCAGAATTTATTAATTGCATTTCTATGAACTCAACCCTTCCACCTGCGTGGAAAGTTGCTGATACGAGCAACATAAAAGAAATATTCTCTAGATGAACGTAAGTGTTTAAGTATTTTTCGGTTTCGGCGTGGTTGTTGGTCTGCCAAGCTTCACTGATCTCATTCGTGATGTATTCAATGGTTCTGATGTTAGTTCGCTTGTCGGTTAATTTTCTACTGCTTTGAATTTGTTTATAACATCATTCTGTTCTGTATGTTGAGAATTAAATTGGTTGCCCTCTCTTCATGCACATAGATTGATATCGTCGTTTTTGAGAGAGTTGGAAAATCGGGCAATTGTTCTCTCTGTGACTCCTTCTAATGATTTGGCTGTAATTTGAAATAAGACTGGAGCTGTACGTTCAATGGACCTCATCGTACGTCATGTATCTGTGTGGGCTAATTTGTGGTTATTTTGTGAATGAGATGAGGTGTTTAGGTATATTCCAATTATTGGTTTGCCGCGCTCCATAATTCGCAAATTATAATTTTAAAACTTCTAAAACTTTTCGTGCCCGTTGAAGTAGAAATTTCTGAAACTCCCGCCTTATTTCGACCCGTATTCAAAGTTATAGTTAATTTGATGACTGATCATTCTAAAATAATGCAGTAGAATTTCTAATCATGCAATACTTTAAATTCCAAAAATCCCGTGTCACCGATGTAGCCAGAAATGCCTTTTGAAACCATTTTCAAATAAGATTTTTCATGCAAATGGTTCAGGTTCAGATTTTTTTTACATTTTGTTTACGACAATCAATATTATGCATACATACCAAGGGTATTGGGGAATTTTACATTTATTTCTATGGAGCCATTGTTAATCTTACACTATCCCACTTTCCACTCAATTGGCCACATAGAACATTTCCAATAACCACGTTTTCACAGTGGGCGTAGCATATATTCCTGAATCAAAAGAAACATTCAAAAAAGAAGTCATGGATTTAGCTTAAGTCACTTACTGCACTTTGCCGATCTTGATTTAGCGAATCTCTATTATCATATAATACTTTCCTGCGCCACTTGGTCCAGCCAGTGAAGACTCGCCCTCGTAATAATACTGATTAGGGAATATTGCAACGCAATTGCCGGATAGATCACCGTTGGCAAAAAACCCTCGAAATAGCCATCGGCTGTAATACAAATTCCTGAACCAACTCGTTTGTTGTCAGAAACATCCGAGATATTTTTCTCCAGAGATGAGTTGATGAATTACGCCATACCCACACTTGTGGTTTTCCTCAAATTCACCAATATATACATACTCGGGATGATGCAGCTGTCCGTGACCATGGAATAGACCATTGCGAAAATTCCCTTCATATATTTCCTTCTCATTAATGATGAGCGTCCCATGGCCACTAAACTTGCCATTTTTAAAGTTACCCTTATACAGTCCAACTTTCGGCATAAACATCCGCCCATCCTTCGATAACGCCATGAATTATCTCTCCGGCATAGAGTTTGCCATTGGGGAATTGAAGTCGACACTTACCATGCATTAGGGCATTCGAAAAACTGCCCTTAGCGTACACCCCGAATAAATGGGATGACTACTAAAACGATAATATATCAAACGTACTTCCGGAATCTTCAGTTTTTCGGGCAAGTTCAATATATTTTATAGAAGATTCCAGCTGATCATACCAAAGATCTCTGTCAAGTGGGGTGCGGGCAACTAATGTGAACTTTTTTCTGGCGTCTTAATTGTTATTCCGGACTCATCCTTTTTCAGCCATACTGCTTCTAATGGAAATGTGGTTACATGGTTTCCAACTTGACACAAGAAGTCAGTGAAAAGAATAAATGGGTGTGATCAGTCCCATCATTGAATGCGACAATTAATGGGCACCGAAGTAGAAGTCAGTATGACACGTCGGTTCTTTCGTTTCAAATGTATTATTTTTGAATTTTTTGATTGGATCGCCAGAAGTCGCGTGTGTTTTCTGCCAACTCCATATCAATGCGATTTTTTCGTACAAATTCCAACCACAATTCCAATTTCTCCTTGTATTTGCAATCGAATTTTTGTATTTGTTCCAACAACTGGCTGATATGGGGAAATAATTGAAAAGAACTTTTAAATATTTTTAAAACATTTCGTTCGTCTCCTTCATTTGCCGAAGACGACGAGGAATCGAAGTTTTCTTTTGCAACATTTCTTGAGCTTTGGGGAATGTTTTGAACAGCTTGAAAACCATCTATGGAATACATATCACAGAAAAGCTTAGAGTAAGTGTCAAGTATTTGGAGACATTCGCGAAAGTGAGATATTATTAACAGCGCACCAACATCTTCGTTGGCCGACCAATATAGTTGTGCTAAAGAGTCTAGCAAGGCGGCCCCATAAAAAACACATTCTGCCACTGGTCGCATATCTCCTGAAGCTCTTTTAAGAAAATTTCTCAACAATTTTTTTTAGCTTGAGAAAGTGTGTTGATGTCGAATCATGGTCTTAGTTTGAGTTTGGAAATGACCATATATGGTTGTAAATCTTCTGTTCAAATGCTTGTGATTATAAATTTAAATTTAAACAAGTAATTAGTAAGGGAAACGATACTCCGTCACTGTATGAATTGACCTTTTCGAGGAGGACTCACTCTCCTGGCAAACAAGGCAGTTTTCCCATTCGTACAAGTCACCTTGTGTTGTTAAGAATATTGTTTTGCTGTCACCACAACAAGCTTCCAAAACATTGCAGTTAGTGACATTGTGAAAAGCCATTTCGGTTGGACTACTTTGTTCACTGCCATAAGATGTCTTGGTTATTTGCTGCCGAGCACTTCCCCATTGGTAAAATGTTCCATCAATTGTTTTTACAATGGTATACTCGTTACCAACTGATACACCACACACTCCTATGTCTTTCAGCTTTTGTACAGCAAAAATTGAATCACGATTAATATGGTCTCCTGTACAAGCACTCCATTATTGGGAGTTCCAAGGGTATAGATTTCAGTTTGAAGCAATATTCTACCAAACTTGTCAAACGCTGTATATTAGCACCCAAAGTTCTATTTGAGCAGGTTGAATCTAGTGTTGTGGGAGTTTCCGATTCTTCTCTTTTAAATTGTGATTCCGAACAGACAAGATCCGGAAGATCATCTGAAATATATACGTAATGGTCCTACATTAGATACTTATTGAGTGACTATTATGCTAGATTTATTACCACATGTGCTATTTGTTATGCCTTTTGTTTCATTTCCAATCTCCTCCTGACTAGAAAAACGAAAAAGTTCTTTCCGCCCTTTACGTCTAAAATATCTATCGGATTTGAGAAGAGTCGTACTAATTTTGGCTGGTAGTAATCCGCTGATAGAGTGCTATTTACATAGTTGCCAATACAATATATATCTGAAGATTCCGAAACGAAAATGACACCATCCGAAGAGCAACATACTTGTTTAATATGCACACCCTCTTCCGATAATCAAGAGGGTCGAACGTAAGCAACCGCCAGTTTTCGGCCAAAATTTCGTTATTCTGTAATGACTGCGCTAGAACCGTGCCATTATCCTCCACTATATACAACACACCGAAATCTCTACAGAACTGGACATCATGCACGGATCCTCGAATAAACGTCAGACGGAGAATTAATTTACTTGGATTTAATACGGCCTCATATAGGGAATTGTTCACAGTCAATAAAAAATAAGTTGATGTTATGGAACATATACGCTGTATCACTCTGCAAGAAGATTGCATTGAGGGAGGTACATTTCTTTTGTCCCATTCAATGGAAACTCTCACGCCGTTATAAAATATGTAAGAATCATATCAACATCTTCCCGACTGTCGTTGCATTCCATCGTTTCTTTGGTTGGTAAACAAATTTGATTATCTTTGGATTTATCACATTATGGAAATTATGAGTACTGGAGATAGAGGAGCAAACAATCGATGGCAAAATCGATTCGATAGTATCGATGTAAGAGGGGTATCGATTGACATTTTTTATCGACATTATCGTACAAAAATCTAATATTTTCATTTCACACAGCAATCATTAAAGATTGAAAATATATCTGATCATGTTGGAAATTTGTCAGAAGAAACACATGCTATTGGGATTAACACTGCTTGTGGCCCTGACTGTATGTGTTCTTATAATAGAATCGCGCTTAGATATAAGTGGTCCCGCTCGAAAACCTCAATTTGTTATTGAAAATAATTCGACATGTTGGTTACGAGAAAAATACTCAGTAATACAGGAATGTCACAAATGTTCCGAGTTCGACTTGGTGAGTCGAAGTTTGGGAGTATGTGTTCATACGAAATATAAAGAAGTCCTACGCTGTAATGACAGTGGAGAAATCGTCATTAAGAGCTGCGATAGGATTGTAGCCATTGACCAGAAGAACTTTGTGCATTTTGAAGTTTGTTGCTTCGTCTTTGGCCTTTTCACGTACTTTCTGTCATTTGCTCGTCATCGAATTTTATCAAGACGTACCCATCAAAAACTGGAGCGACAACTCAATCGAACTTAAGATGATGGATGTTAGGTATTTTATACAGCATTGGAGGATACACAAATTCAGTCCTAGATCTTAAAATAAGGTTCATGTTGACTTCTATAATTAATGCAACCATAAATTAGTCTTATTTATTGTATTCCATAAAAAAATAATGTTTAGACATTTATGTCAGCATAATCTGTCGAAAATAAACAAATAAAATGTACATATACCAACAACATTTATGTAATTTATTCTGCTTTTATGTATATATACGCACTTTATTGTTAAAGGAGATATTTAAAAAATGATTTTGATTACTTTCGCCAATTTGAAATCAAATCTGGTTCGGGGAATTAATTTCTTCAGGGGGACTGGTTAGGCTCTGAAAATCACACTTTTGAACATTCATCTCAACATCTGCGTTATTTGATACGATGGAATTGTTTCCGTTTGACTTTAAAGATGTATCTGTCATGGGGAGTGGTTTAGCCACCCAATGCGAACAATGCCCTTAGGGGCCCCTTTCAAAGCTTGGACAGCCTGGTCAAGAGTAGCATTTTCCAAATTATATTGTTTACAAATAACAGACGATCACCTGGTATAAGACGGCCATCCATCTGGGCTACTCCTCCTGGAACGAGTGAACGAATGACAATCAAGCAATCGTTAGAATCCATTGGGTCTTGGTAATCAAGTATGGAGAAACCTAAACCCCGGTCTCCTTTTATGAGTTCTATTATTTGGGGCTCTTCTGACCACATTGCCAAACCAGTCAAAGGCTCCAAAGAGCGCGATTTGAACTTGAACGATTCTTCTGTGGTTGGTGATGAAGTGGCTAGATTGCCATCTGATTTTGCTTTTACTAGTCTATCAGAGGCCGGAACAAGTTTTTCTAAATTACTTTCCAACTCTTTAAGGTGTCATCAGAAAAAGACATTAATTCTGTCTTGCTACGACCGCAAACCATACGAACATCAATGGGAAGCTCCTTTAGAATAGCCACTACCTCCAAATGGTTCATACCGAATAATCGCTCACCATTTACCTCTAATAATTCATCACCAGCACGAAGTTTACCATTGAGTCCAACAGGGCCATCAGCTAGTATAGACCGGATGTAGTGATGTGGTCGAACCTCCCGACCACCTTCGACGTCTACAGTGCCCTCTAGCGATATTCCAAGACCACCAACCGGAAATTTCTTAATTTGAGCCACCACTACGTCAACATCATTTCCAACAATTTTCTTCCATTTGCGAATAATTTCTTGTTCCACCTCAGCACTGAGTTCAGGTTCAGTATAATATTTTTGTCGCGTAAGTAGCACACTATTTTTAGCATGGAGTGGTTCCTAATGGGAAACACATTTATTAAATCAAGCAAGAAAATATTAGCAATATGTATACTCACTTCAAACCCAATTTGATCACGTTCATTGCTTTCAACCACATCAGAAGATATAATTGTTTTGACGTCTCTTCGTGCATTTTGGGAATAAGCATGGGTTTCTATCAACTCCAAAGGTAGACATGTTTGTAAATTGACCGTTTGTGACATTACATAGATTATGCATATTGGAAGCTGGTACATTAAAAGCTTCAGGTTCCGTGGAAAAAACATTTACGCCACTGGTGGCAAACGTATCTCTTGCTGTCGAGGGACGTGAAGGAGTAGATGGCATACTGGACGGAAGCTTATCATTGGCGGCAATTGCTTGTTGAAGTTGTTCGTATTTAGGTCCTCTTAAATAGCGCTCCAATCTTAGATTGACCACTGTCCCTGACTGCTTAAGAAGCTCGACAGCCTGGTGATTGGTAAACCCCTGTAACGATTGTCCATCTACCTCTATAATGCGATCGTTGACTCTTATACGACCATTTAAGTCGGCTGCTGAACCTGGTGATACGCTCTTTACAAATATTCCAGATAACTCTTCCTTCTCACACACATATCCCGCAATGGTTATACCTAAACCATTAGCATCCTTAGTAAGTTCAACTTGCAATTTTTCAGTTTCGGGCAATTCTAAGAGGTCTATAATGGGCTTGGATCCCCTATACACAAATCGGTCATCTTCCGTCGTTGTCTGAGGGGTGGAAGCATTTGAACTTTCCCCAAAAATTTCAGGAAAGCCAGTTGATATCAAGTACCGCTCAAGTTCAGCACGATCAACTAAAACTCTAGCCGGAACAATTGCACTACCCGCTTCCAAATTAAACCCAACTGGAGATGGCTGTTCAATTGCACGACCAACAACTAAACGTACATGTGTTCCTGATTGCCGCAACACAGCTGCGACTTGCTCCGATACCATCTCCTGCAAATTAACATCACCAATTTGCAAAATATGGTCACCCGATCTTAATCGGCCGTCTCTATCCGCAACTCCACCTGGTAAAATTGTCTTAACTATGACGCCAGAGTTACGTGCTCCTATAATTCCGAAACCTAGTCCAGTACCATCATTGACTAGCTCAATGGCTTGTATTTGTACATAATCCGTAGGGAATAGTTCCACCCCGACAAGGAGGGCATTTTGGAATGTTGTTGCTCCAGCATAGTGTTGTCAGCGACTTCCGTTGCCTTGCTACTACCAGGGCTATTTGGGACGGAGGCGCTGTTTAATGAAGTAGAAACTCGCTCATCAAATTCGTACAAAACATCACCTCCATTATTGACACTAAGAACCAAGTTTCCTGCCATATCAATATCAAAGTCATTTGGAAGCATCGACGGATGTTGCGACAGTTGAGCATTCAATTCAGACAGAGAATCCTGGACATGCACAATAGAAACAAATACTGGATCTTGTAAAATATCAAGAATAGTTTTGAGACTTTCAGCAGTTTGGTTCTGTAATTTTGGGTCATCACTTTCATCAATCACCCGTTTTACAGCCTCAATTTGCTGTAGAGCGCTGGATATATCAGCATTCAATGCATTGTATCTGCTGCTAGATGTATGCTCTTTAATTTTCGTTAATTGCCCTATCTTAGGTGTTTATAGGAGAAAAAATAATTGGATTAGTTGTTTTTAGAATAGCTTCTTCTTCTTCTTTGGAATCGGTAGGTACGATACCATTGTTGTGTAGTCGATTATTAGTTATCGATAATTATTTCGAGTTCCTTGTTACTTTCCATTTTTCTTTATTCTTGTAGTGTGTGATTCCAGGTTATAGCAAATGGTATAATTATTGAAGGTAGCAGCAAGTCCCAGCTGATTTGACTCTGTAGTAATACTGGTGTCAAACTTGATATGACGTTTTGTGATTTATTCCATTTCTTGTGTACCCTTTTTTATATAAAATTCACTGCAGAGCAAAGTGAACATTTTTAGCCTAATAATAGAAAAAATCGCCGTTATACTTAACAAAGCGCCAATTTCGAGTTCCTTGTTACTTTCCATTTTCTTTATCCTTGTAGTGTTGTGATTCCAGGTTATAGTTCATGGTATAATTATTAAAGGTAGCAGCAAGTCCCAGCTGATTTGACACTGTAGTAATACTAGAGTCAAACTTGATATGACGTTTTGTGATTTAATTCCATTTCTTGTGTACCCTTTTTATATAAAATTTCACTGCAGAGCAATGTGAACATATTTTAGCCTAATAATAGAAAAAAATCGCCGCCGTTATACTTAACAAAACGCCAAAGGCGATGGTTCGGAAGCTTTTTTTGCTGTTTAGGAACAGCGACACCAAATTGGATAATATATCGAGTAGAGTACTTTATGTATGTATGCTGTTTGGTTTCAACTTAAAAGGAATGTTGCCTTTTCCACGATTTTCTAGCGATTGCTTGAAGTGTTGAGAGATTAGGACAAACAACTATACATTCAGGGGAATGATGTGAAAGCATTGAAATTAAATATTTTAAGAACTATTCTTCTGCGCTGTAAATTTAATAATCCAAATTCGAAAAATGTATATTTTGAATTAAAAATAATTTATTGCAATTTAATTGTTTTGTTTGCATTTTGGACATATAACTCTGAAATTATAGTGCACATTTCAAAAACAACGATCATATCTCAATTCCTGATTCCAACACATACCTCAATATCAAATTTCGAGATTCCAGTCCAGTTCCATTTAGTACTATTTAGTATTTTCCAAGCCACCTCCAAATCTCAAACACAAACATCATCAGTAACCTAAACATCAAACTTCAGAGTTTTATCTCTATCCATTCACCAAATCCCAAATGTACTATTTAGTATTTTCCAAGCCACCTCCAAATCTCAAACACAAACACCATCAGTAACCTGAACATCAAACTTCAGATTTATCTCTATCCATTCACCAAATCCCAAATGTATTTTTCGTACAATTAAAGTACACATTTCCAGAATTACTTCCATTGTCCAGGCTACACATGAACATATTTCAGGTTTCAAGCACTATATGTTCACCCAAAGCCAAATTTTATCAAACACATAAATTTCTAAAACCACCTCTTTATTACGAACCTACTACCAAAAGGGACCCCAATACAAAATTTCAGCTTAAACCGTTCACAGTAAACCAACTGTTCCAAATCTAGTACCACTTAGTATAGTTCCCTCAAACTTATTTTCGAACCTTAATTCTCATAAAAATGTTCATTTTTTAGCGTAATTCAAATGGTGCCATTTTAGAAGTTCAGTAACATTTAGTACACATAAGTACGTTATATGGGGGCTATACAAAGACGTGGTCCTGCATAAGTAATACCGAATAATACCGAATATTGGGAGGTACCGTTATATGGGGGCTGTACGATATCGTGGACCTATATAGAAAATTCTCTTCCAGGGGATAAAGTACTCACAAGAAACTCCTTGGCAGAATTTCAGACAATTCCATTGAAAAATATGGCTAAAATCATCAAAATACGAATAATGGGGGTACCGTTTTATGGGGATCGCATATCCCGCATATCAACATATCGCATATCGCGGACCGATATAACCCTATATATAACTTTACCTGTCTTCAGACGAAAGACATATATGTGCATAATTTTAACAAATTCCTTTAATATTAATAAGAAATATTTTTTTTTTTTATTCAGAAGAAATCGTTTTTTTTTTGTTTAGTTTTTCAAGTTAGATTTTTTTTGTTTGAATGTTATTGACTACTTTCAACAAAACGTCAGCACTTGTAATGATTACACCATGGTACAATGATGCCAAATTAATTTGATTATATATTGTATTATTATATGAAAAATCGTTCAGAAAACATTCAAAATGCGTATTACAATGTATGTATGGACGAAATTTATACTTTTTGTTGGGAAATAAATCTTTAGTAAAATATAAAACATGATTTTAAAATAAATTGTGATCTCTCATTCAATTTTTGTTTTTTTTTTTGGTTATTTATTCAAAATCAATGCAACAAGTTCTTTTGTTTATTTGAAAAAAAGAAATGTTGCATTTGCTTTGATAGTAATTCTGACATTACTATCCATACAGTAGGCTCTTTATTTGTAAATTTTTCCAACTTAGCCTATCTTGTCTTCATTGTACCGTAAATTAAAATTAACTAAGGCTATGCGTCATAATAGTGTCAATACGGTTTTTTTTCTTTTTTGTCATAAGTAAATCCAAATATTTTAGAATACACTTGTCCTTAGGCTGGTGCATAGATTATATAAAAATATAAAATGAGGATGTAAAACTTGAAAACTTACAAGCACTACTAACCCCTTTCGCAAATTATTTCCACCGCGTTTGGTTCCATCAATGTCGATTCTAAGCATCTATGAACTGCTGAACCCAAAATTTCATCCAATAAATAGTTAATAAGGCTGTAAATAGTTAAAAGAACGTAGCAAATATTCACTATAGAGAAGGCTGCAAGTGTTGACAGTGCAGAAACTAACTCACTTTTCGTCCTTCACAAAACGCCATAGATTCATTTGTAGATAATGAGTGTCCACCTGAATCTGCTGCAAACCAAATTTACTAAAAGTGCGAACACGAACACATTCCAGTAATGTCTAGAACACAACATATTATGTAGCACGCTGTTGTATCACTTTTTTAATAACATACCTTCAAACCAATTTTAATTATGCCTGTTACTATTGACACCTTAGAGAAGTCCACTGACGTGAAAATATCTACCCTTTCTGAAAACAATCTATGTATATTGGAGACATAGGAAGATTCCAGTTGTGATGGAGTATAATTGGACCAATTAGAACGAAACTGTTGTTTGGAGCCAGTCAAATTGCTGAAATGGGTCTTACGGCTGGAGTCACTGCTAGCAGTTGTCCGTTCATTCTGATGTGGCTGTTGTTCATACAAACTGGCAACAACGGTCTCTATAGATGACATCTCCTCCACAACTCTTTTCATTACAGCACGCACAGTTCTCGGCTCAAGGCAATTGAGCCAATCGCGAGTCTCCACGCTTTTGCGGAGCATCTGCGAAATATTAGACCCTTGTAAGCGGACATATGTGTCAAGAAGATTTTGTGCTGTTTCTCGCATTTCAGCGCATATTTCGGTTTCGTGGGTAAGAGTTGTGCTATTCTCAGAATCGATTTCGTATAAGTCATCAACTAAGCTAATCTTGAAGTTAAATATAGTATATCAAAATGCCAGTCTATGCAATCAAACAATTTTCCACTTACTAGTACATGAATGCCATTCTGTTCCATTTCTAGACATGTCTTAGATAACACCAACAACAAATTTGGGAGACTCGATGTGGACAAGTCACCAAAACTATTCATAACTTTTGAAATGTGGTGCAAAAAGCCAATTAAGAGAGTTTCTCGTATACCTTCAACACAAAGAGCACCTTTGTAGTCGCATTTAATATTGAAGGACCAATCAGTTTGAAGGAAAATTAACAAATCCTGTAACACGCCGCGCACTTTTTCCATTAGCGTTACGTAAGGTTAGTAATGAGATCATTGAGATGCACACCAGACACTACAGCATCGCTCTTCGTGGAAACTAAGATAGCCGAACCGAACTCAAACTATCGGCGAAATGATCCTTCAAGGCTTTGGAATGGGTCTGCATAAGTTGGTGGGCCGCCGAAATAATAATATCAACAGTGTTCGCTGAATTCCAAGCCACAGCAGATGTTGCGCATAGCTAATAAGCGCCTCTGTAAGCGATCCAATGCTCGCAGCATAATGTGGTGTCGCCTAGACCAATGTCTGACTCAACACGGTCCTGGACAAGCGTCATATATTATCTATGTTTTCGTTTAAAAAGGAGTTCAGTTCTTTCAAAGCTACCTCCTGAAAGTCGTCTCTTTCGCCGTCGTAATGTTTCGCCACAAACATGTCGTAGTACGCAGTAACTACTAATGTTAGATCTCTGAGGAAGCCATCGATGCCCAAGTCGACGAATTCGATCATATCACGTTCGGTTTGGTCCTGGAGCATAACAATCTGTTCATGTAGTCGCTTTGAAGCACAAACTAACATTTCTGCCGCCCATATCTGACGGCTTCTCATCAAGTTGTAGCAGCAAGTCCCCCATTTTTGTTAATGTTTCCGCCGTCTTTCCCGACATATGAAATTCAGCTCTTAGTTTTTGCTTCAAATCTGCCATAATAATGTCGCAGTCTTTTCGAATACCATCAAATGAGGGTTGTTGTCCATATTGCTCAAATACTTTTTTAGCATGCACATAATCTTGAACACATTGAACATAATTTTGCTCCTCTATGTGCTCCTTTAACTTGCGGGCAGAGATGATAGAAACTGCAACGTTTTAGCAATGAATGTTTCTCTGAAAGTTTGCATAGCTGCGACCTGGTACCTTGAAGTGTTCCCGTTATCTGCTCACTGAAGTTGGTGATCGTTCCCATTTTTTCCTTCAATAAGTTCATGTCAGATTCCATTTGTTGAAGTCATTCTTCATTTTGCGGATGGTGTCAGTTGCCGAAATGAATTTATTGTAATTTTCATACACCAACGTTGCATATCGGAGTGTAGAGTTTGGGTATCCTTTACAACTGCTGCTCGGTGTCCATTATCTGTTTCAGTGAATAATCCTATAAATGAAAAATAATTACTACACTGTCTGATATGATATAAGGAAAAGCTAACATACCTTCAGAAGCTTTTCCAAATAAACCTCAGAATCAAAGGCTGTTGTGTCCATGTCATATGGACTGTGTTTGGTTTCTATATGATCATTATTCTCTGCTATGAGGATTGAATGGTATTACGCATGTTATACTAGTTATACGTACGCTATATTTGTTACTAAATAAATTTTAATGATGTAAAAAAAAAAATTTTAAATGCGCAAAGTTCGGTCTGGACGACTTTGTTCATTCATTGTTGATTTTATTCCATTTTACATTTTTTGATTCTTTTTATTTGCTTGCAGTTGTTACTTTCGTTATGTTGAAACGAGCCCTTTGGCTTGCTTAACTGTTGCTCAGCTTGTTAGAGCGGCTGAGTCCGAGGGTGATAGTACTATTATTTAAACAGATTCAAAAGATTTCGGCCATATTGGATATTTTATATTGAACTGTATGAAATAGATAAATGTTGGAATCTGGTTACGTCTTAAAAATCAGAAAAGTGGGTAGTGCCGTTACATGAAGCTACAGCGCAAACTGAAACCGCACTCACCTACAATATTAAAATTTAAAGTTGTGAGACATTTCATTGTGGCATTCCTTCGACGTTTTTTCACCACAACAGTTGAAAACATGTACTTTTCTTGTTTTTTATGTATGTTGAAAAATGCGAATGTTTGGAATTTTTGAAAGGGCTACATTTCGAAGAATTTAATATTTTAAAGAACCATAACCATAGTCGGGAGAGTATTTTGGGATTGAAACTACTTCTATTCTAAAAAATCTTTACATTTCAAAGCTTCCAACATAGCTCTAGTTTTAGTCTCTCTCTCTCTCTCGGTCTTTTCTCTGATTCCGAAATTGTTTAAAAAAAATCCCAAAAGTCTAAGAGGCCCCATTGGGAGTCCACAACATTTATGCCAAATTGTAGTGACACTATAAACTTCCCAAATTCTACAACATGTGTTATTACCTTTCTTGGATCCAGAGTTATGGGTCTTTGAACCCAGACAAGCCGATTTTTTGTGAACTCCCAAAATGGGCCCTTCTTTGACTTTTGGGGTTTAAAAAAATGCGGGTCCAAAAAATCAACAATTTTTACACAATTCCGGAACCGTTTTTAAATAGCCCCATCCTTTTGGATAGTATTTCATTAGCTTTCTAATTATACCTATATTGTCCATATCTGCTTAGTACGCCCGGGTCTTGGACTAGGAATTTTGGGTCAAATATCCGTGTCCGTCTCCCAAGAAAAATGTTTTCCCGGAATAAGGGTGTAAACACCTACTTCTGGAAGACATTTTAAAAAACAAAATCCGAGAGTTTTTACTAAACCAGAGTTGTTTCAAATATTCCCCATATACCTGAACTGCATTGAAAATAAATATATCGGAATCTCCAGTGTTAACCAGACAACCCATAATTCTATTGACATATCGATTGATCCAATCTTCTCTAAGCCAGACAAAAATAGTAGTTGTCGCCAAAGGCTATTTACATATGTTTCGACTTGTCATGCCATAACAGCTCCACACATTCAAGCTATGATTCTCCATAGTTCAGTCTAGCAAACAAAAATGCATTGGACAGTGTAGCGCAGGAATACTAGCTTCCATTTCCTTATCGAAGGAGTAATATATCTCTGATTGAAAGCAATGTTTACTGATGAAATTCTTGCAAATTGTCCTAAATTGATACACGATATATATGCGACAACATAGCAACAAAGTAGCATATTATTTCTTACTGGTGGTTTGCTCTTCTATCATGCAGGGTATTTATAGAATAGAATTAATAACTCTTCCGTTGATATTTAGAATAACTTTTTTTCGTGCTCAATATCTGTTCAAATGCCGATTTCAACGATCTCAGTGGTAATGTATATATTATTGTATATGAAAATCGGGATAGGTTACTCGACTTTCGATTACTCGAAAAAGACGACTTTGGTCAAACCCGATAAATCGACTTTTCATAATCAATTGTGCGGCTCACTGTATCATTTTAGTTGTGTTCCAGAACCTGCAAATTAGTACTAATTAGCACTAATTCTGCTACAACGCGTTCCCGTACTCCAAAACTAGCAAAACTTGCAGCTCTCTCGAGAAAAAAATGGCGCTGAGTGGTGCACATTTCTGCTTGTTTTAGCTACATGAATTTGGCCGAGTAGAAATGTGCATATTGTAAATTTGACATTTAATTGGCAGGGCTAACAAGGTTGAAAAATGTATTGATACATTTCAATAAAGAAATGATCAAATTGAAAACTAAGGCTGGAAATACATAAAGAGCATATTTGGCTGGCTTAAGTCATCGGCTGGCTTCTTCGTAGATGAACAAAGGAGGTTTAAGTTGACCTTAGTTCGATTTTGGCCCTAGGCTCCTCTGTTCATTTCCGAAGAAGCCAGCCGATGACTTAAGCCAGCCAGATAAGCGCTTTATGTATTTCCAGCTTAAAGGAAAAAAGGATATATTATTAAGTTTAACTTATCGTCTTCAATACTCATTTTTTAAATGTTGGCGCTCTTTTCAATAAGGTTTCACCAGTCCGATTTAGACTGTTTACTTTTGGAATTTTGAATTTGACATTTTATCGCATTTCTGCTAATTTCCGTTCCCTTATTTTTTGAGCAAACCTAAATGAGAAGAACATTCGAACTGTTCTCTCTTCTGCTAGTTTTACTACTAACAAAGTACTGGAACACAACTTTTATGTGTAATATTTGTCCGTTCCAGAACATGCACGGTACAATTATACAGGTAACAGCAAGTGGTATTTGTACATACGTAACAACAACCACACACAAATCTGTTTTGTATGTAATACAAGTGTCAGAGTTATATGTCCAAAAATGTAAACAAAGAATTTACTAGTTTTGCATTTTGATATCATAAAGGCATACATCGATATCGTAGTATAACTTTTAAATTCTTGCAGCTTAAGCAACCAAAAGAGCGTTTTATGTACTCTCACCTTAAATATGAATGTAAATTTAATATTAATAATACAATAAATCTTTGGAGAAAAATCAATAATCTCGTCTATTCATATTAATGCGTATTTCATATGATTTCGCACAAATTTATATTAAAAACCACAAACAAATTTTTTGAAAAAAGAAATTATGTTGCTATGAACTACGTAATTCTACCATGGTTTTACCCATGGTACAATAAGGAGGTTGAACAGCTTCGTAAACTACAGAAATACAGCCCTGAGGCTATGCCTGTCAGAATATTCAAATTATAGGCGACAAGTTGTTTTCATTTATTTGGTATTTTTTTGTCATTTCTAAAATGAGTCGAATAACACGAATGATGAATGAAATGCCTGGATGTTCTCTAAAAAAAATTTGATCCTAAGTGTTCAATCTTTCAATTCCATGGTAAATCTCGTTAATATTAGTAATGCGCGCCCGCAATTTAAGTTTCTTCCAATCATTGATTTGAAAATATTTTGTTTTTATTTTTCAAAACAACAAATACATACACAAAATTTGCAGAAATCGGGCACACTTAGAAAAAAATTGTAATCAGCTGGGAGCTCTACCTTACCTTTTTATTTACCATGGTTTTACCATGGAACTACGAATCGTGCCGTATTCTATGAATTCGTGTACCTAATTCAGGAAAGCGAACAACGTGATTGAAATTGCGATAAGAAGTTCCTTTATTTTCCTACCGATACCAACATCGGATAAAAAATGAGTTATTTGAATCATAAATAAATATTTTTGAAAATTCGTTAGAAATGGAAAAGCGTATAGGTTTACGTAAACGCAGATCAGCTGACAGACATTTTATATAATTTAAACTGCTTGTCTTCATGTACCAAATAAAGGTGTAAGCACATAAGAAGTCATGGTAGGCATATTTTGTTACATTTCATAAAGGGATTACAGAGCCGCATTAAATCTTGCCGTCGTTTTCCACGTACGAACCACGTACTTTAAATTCCAATGAGAACTAGGTATAATAACTAGCATAACGTTCGATATATCGTTGAAAAAGGCAATAAATCGATGGATAACTTTTATATGGCATCGATAATATCGATTGTTTGGCATCTCTATTTCGGTCATCATTCGGGGTGATTTCAATTTTCTGTATTAATAAGAGTCGCGCATATATTTCAGTTGCAAATATAATAGATACAGACTAGAACGTGTTTAATTGTAATTTATTTCATTCCACGGCAGTATTGAGGATTGTGATATTATCGGGAAGGTATGGTTTTTTTTTTACTTTTACTAAGCAAATATTGTTGCTCATTTGAGTGGCGGCGTTTTTTTTGTATGTATGTAGGATTGACTGATCGCCATTTTGGTTAATGAATTTACATCTTACATAAAATGAAAACGTTGAGGTTTCTTAAATAGATTATTCTGCTATGTAATTCCCTGTTTGCCTCTATTTGTGGGTGTTGTTTTAGGTAATATTAAAGGGGTTTGTATAGTTGCTCATGAACATCATTCGTGAAGCTGCTCAACTCAACTGCTAAGGTACATATTATGAAACGTAGCGCTTCACGAGATTCACCATCCAGAACAAGTCATTCTTCACGCTCTCGTTCTACAGCTATGGGACGCGGTGCATATGATAACGGAGGCATGGCCGGGGACTCGCCGGAGCGCATGTCTCCAGACCGTTTAAGACGCCGTGTTGGACGCTCCCCCAGCCCTCGTGCCCGTTATACTGGCGGGTCTCCTCACCGGGAAGAGTATATTCGTGGCGCCCCCATGCCAACTTCTGACAGGCCATCTTATAAAGTTCTTTGTGTGTCGGCCTTGCACTCGAAAGCATCTGATGAATTCATTAAAGAAACTTTGTATCGTGAATACAAAAAGTTTGGCGATTTTAGCATTCGTATTTCCCATGACTTGGATGAAAGGGTAGCGTACGTTTGCTTCCGTACAGCTGAAGATGCTAGGGAAGCGAAACATCATAAGCCAAGAATTGTTCTCTATGATAAAGTGGCCTTGGTAGAGCCAGTATATGAGTCTTCAGGTCGCGGTGAACACAGGTAAGAAAAATGTTAACTTTATACCCATTATATATGATATAGTTACTATTATCAAAATCATAATTATTGTTTCCAAGCACGATGCAAAAATAAATACCTTTGATTTTATTAAATTATGACCTTTATGTTTATGTTAGTCGAGATTATGTGCATCAAGAGTTTATTATACACAAGTAATTTATTTGCAGGTCGCGAGGACGTTCACTGACGCCACCGGAATATGACCGCTACCATTACTCACGAGTGCCAGTGCCTCCCCCTGGACCACCGGAACACCGCCGACCACCATTGGACCCTTATGATCGGTATGGACCACCGCATATTTCTTCACATCCTCATTCCAGAGAATACCGCCCGATCCATCATGAATACCCAATGCCACCTCGTGGGCCTCCAATACATCGCGGTCCCCCGCATATTCATGGGCCTCCACCACATTATGGTGGTCCACCTCGCCACCTTGGCCCAAGACCTCATGTACCATATGAAAAGCCTGAAAACAAAAAAGATAAATTTCCCAATTATTTACATCATGTTCAACCCGAAGATGACCCTCTTGCTACTCGCACGCTTTTTGCTGGAAACCTAGAAGTATCTATTTCAGATGAAGAATTACGCCGTATTTTGGAAAATATGGTATTGTGGACGATATTGATATCAAAAGACCGCCACCTGGTACAGGAAATGCCTTTGCTTTTGTGCGGTACCAAAATTTAGATATGGCGCACAGGGCCAAGTGCGAATTGTCTGGACAATACATTGGAAAGTTTCAATGCAAGATAGGCTATGGCAAAGTTACTCCAGCCACTCGTATATGGGTCGGTGGTTTGGGCGCCTGGACATCTGTAACACAACTGGAGAGGGAATTTGATCGTTCGGAGCCATTAAAAAAATCGAGTACCAAAAAGGCGATACTTGTGCTTATATTCAATACGAAACCGTGGAAGCAGCAACAGCTGCAGTTAAGGAAATGCGCGGATTTCCCTTAGGTGGTCCCGAAAGAAGGCTTAGAACCGATTTCTCGGAGCTCCCAGGCGTGACGCCCACAGCTGCTCCTTTTAAGCCAAAATATGACGAAGCTGCCATATCAGCTGCAGAATACAGACGTCCAGAATACGATTATCATTATGAAGAGCCACATCATCATCATCATCACTATGCTCCTCGTGGGGGGTATTCGCCGTATCCTCCCCGTGGATCATATCGTGGGCGTGGAGGTTATCGCGGACGCGGCCGGGGATCTTATCATTATCCCAATGATGTTCATCGCCCAATACATCCCAGCACTTTAGCTCCAACATCAACGTCGGCCATTCCACCACCAGCTGGTATTGAAGATGAATGGCGTCGCCCACCTGGTGAGCCTGGATTCGAAAGAGGTCGGTCCGCTTCCCGCGAAATCCGAGCTGATCGTTCGCGTTCACGTTCTCCACATAAGCGAACACATTCTCCTGGTTCTGACTCAGATTCATCGCAGCGTCGTAATGGCTCGACATCTTTAGCATCGGCTCGCGCTCTTTCCGATGTGGCTCGAAAATGCACGGTTGTTTGGCAAGGTGCCCTTATCCTAAGAGTTCCTTGTTTCCAGCCAAATTTCATCTTACCGATGGTGATGCCGATATTGTAGACTCGCTAATGCGTGATGAAGAAGGAAAGCATAATTTGCGAATCACCCAACGGCTACGTCTCGATCCGCCAAAATTGGAAGATGTGCAGAAACGCATTACCTCGTCGTCCTCCCATGCCATATTCTTAGGCTTGGCTGGCTCTACATCCACAACGATTGCTTCCGAAGATAGTTCAGTGCAAACCAGACCTTTGCGGAACTTGGTTTCATATCTCAAGCAGAAAGAAGCTGCTGGTGTTATATCATTGCTAAACAAAGAGACGGAAGCCACTGGCGTGTTGTATGCGTTTCCACCTTGTGACTTTTCAGCGGAATTATTGAAGAGAACTTGCTCGTCCTGTCAGTGAAGAGTCATTTAAGGAGGACCACCTCGTGGTAGTAGTGGTGAGAGGTGGAACTGCTTAAAAGAAGGAAAAAATGTCCTACATCAATTCATTGATTTCACATGAATAATTATTTTGATTGACAAGTAAAACGTTGATCATCCCCCTTCACATTCTTGACAAATTAATTAATAATACCAAAATTCCGAATAAGAATAACGTGTCCATACACATAAAACTACATCCATACATACATACTAAAACCCCTCCTCCTACCATCCCGATAATCAAGCTCCATTGTATAATATATAAATTCACAAATGCTAATCTTTGCTTTCCATGGCAAAGACATCCATATATGTTGCACCCGAATATGCACATTTTTAATTGGTATATCTATTTTGCTCCACAGTCGTGTTGCTACCTGTCGTTGAACTGTGCCAACTATGAATACAAAACTTATACATAGATTTAGCTTCCAAAGTTATATATGGAAATATCATCAAAAATGTGAAAGTGTGAATATATCCCGAAGGAAAGTTAAATTTGCGATCATGATGCTCTGCGAAATGAAATGTGAATTTAAAATTGTTTATTTTTTCAATTAGTTTGCAAATCAAATCAGCAGTTTTAGTTTACGATAAATGTATACATATATTTACGAGTAGTGTTGGCAATATGTGGATCATCATAATGGCTGTAGTGATGTTTTCTTGTGTGACTTCGATTCTAGTGGGCTGTTTCAGCCGAGGCCCATCTAATAAACTCTATAACATCAGTGGCAGTGTTACACTAAACATCAAAGATATAGATTTGACTTTCCAAAGTGAGTTCGTTTTTCGGATATGCATTAGATATAGTTTAAAAGGGTGTTATGAATCGTATGTGCTTGTTATAGTATGGTGAAGTTCCAAAACCACATATAATCTATGGAGCTCTATGGAGCCATCCAATTTTGATGATATGGATAATTTCTTTATTGAATTTGAATACAAATGTGTGGTGTGTTGTTCCATTCTTCTTAGACACATGTCGTTAATAGATACCTGTGGTGAATACAATTTTTTGATGGAATCATATTTATGTCCACCTTGGATGAGTCTAAGTGAAGTGAAAGTAATGTTTGTTTCAACAGTTGATGAGTAGTGGTCTGCGAAGGAAGAAACAAAATACCAAGATACATTAAAAATCTTTTCGCTGTTACTGGTGTTGATCAGTTCCTTCTCAAGTGTTTTTTGTGTTCAAACGGGGTTCTCTCGTCAGAGTGTTTGTGACTTCTATTCCAATAATGTTTTCTGCATACGTTCCTCGAACTAAAGTCATTTCAAAAGAAGTGACGCAGTGTTAGATTGTGTTCACTGAAGTTAGCCCCTTCTTAAGAAAAATGCCAATGCTGCTGTCCCAATTATTCGCCAGCAAATCCTTAGAAAACTAATTGTAGTATTTGTTTAAAAATTATATGTGATTGAAAAGGGTTTTACAAATGCTACATTGTTTTCTACGAGGAATGTCCACCTAGAATGGAAAAAGTGTCGCTTGCGCAATAACTAATAATGAAAACAAATTGAATCTATGGTGGTTGCTCGCTAATTGAACTTGGAGGACGATCAGTTGAGTTCGATTGTCAATAAAAACCAGGCCAATATTTGAAATGAATTTATAACCTTGGCAGTGAAATGCATAACAAACATGTATTATGTACAATGTATCTTTTTATCGTAACTTCCTTTAAAGTAGTGTTGTGCATCTCCCAAGTGATCTTTTGCTCATCCCCCCAGTGAAAGGAACACAGAGGCGGCGTTCAATGTGTGATTTAAGTTATGGGTCCGTTTCCAAAATCGCATGTAAAAATAGATCGTGTATTTTGAATTAATTTCGGTGAATATAAAATCGTAGCGACAACTGTGTATTTTTAAGTTTCTGTTCCTGTATATCCAGATCCAATCTTTCAAATTTATGCAATAAAACTCAATAAATATATATATTTATATAAATACGTACCTAAGTTTCGTTACATTTTATTTACAAACACTGAACGACAAGATGGCATATGCATTTATTGCGATATTATTGTATATATAAATGACTGACTACTGACAATGATTTCAATCATAATAAAGGTAATAAAGTGTAGCTACAGCAAAGAATTTTGGTGTTTCTATTACGTGCGATATGTATCCATCCTTGTCGGCATCCCACAAAAAGTTTACATATGAATAGAAACCCTGCATAAGTTTTTCGCCAATGGTAACAACAACGATGAAGCGGTATCTGGAAGGTAAATGAAATTATTTACAAGTTATTATTAATAAATAGATAGATTATAGTTGTGTGTTGCCATACAATTCTATTACAAATTGACATGACAATACTTAAGGTATATTTTGGATTAAATCGATTCGATGTATGTAAGAAAGGGATTAACGACGCCGAATCCGTTTTATTTTATTCAATATTTATATATTATGCCATCCCGATATGTTGGGAGTGCTTCCGACTACTATCTGATTTGTATAACTTGAAAATTGTAGCAATTCAACAAAAACCAATTAGAAGTTCATTTCTTTTGTCTAGAAGTATATGTAATACAGTAGTAAATTTGCTTTGGAAATAGTGGCATTTTGAAATACATGTTATTTATCAAGGATTCAAAAGACTGCTTATCAGCCAGCACAAATTAAAATATATCTCATGTAATCCTTAATGTTCAGTTTCATTGCAAAACTAATCGACTCTTAATCGTTGATAACGAAAATGTTTGTGTGGGAGTCAAAAGTTTTGTTGGTTTTAATCAATTGGTTTTCAAGCTGGTTTATGGTTGATGCCAATTTCTCTTAGTTTCCATGAAACATCGACAAATCAATGTTCATGTATTCACTTACTTTAATAATTGTATTTCTTAACAATACATTTGTCTGGGTATTTCCCCAGCAATACTTAATTGAATTCATTTGTGTAATACATGTCTTTGGGAGCACTGAATCGTGTTACATAGCTAGCAAAACCTGAGTATTTAATACTCATACTTAAATGCAAAAACTATTTGAAACTTTAAATTATTTTTCTCATCGTTGGCTCCCATGACAGAAGAATACAGGTAGATGCATCAGCACTTGTGAACATTGTTATGGCAATAATATTAAAACGTTTCTGCAAAAATAAATTGAATTCAGAATGTTTTCTTATACAATGGTATTCAGTTGTGATTATGAATATGTGCTGGCTCCACAGCCATGAGGATATAATGCAGCTATAAAATATATGTTCTGTTCCACAACTGCAAGAATGTAAATATTTTTACTACGATAGCCGATTTTTGCTTTACGATATCGAAGAAAATTGAAAGCTAGCGAGGTCCTGCAGGTTGTGGAATTGGGCAATATTGCGTCCAAGTAAAAAAATAACTCAGAAAACTATTAAAATGTAATCATAATGAAGATCGTTCCACCAAACTAAAGTCTAGAACGTGGCTATTCAAAGAAGAATAATGTAATCACACTAAATGTATTAATGTATCCACGCTAAATGAAATGAATGAAAATTTTCATCCTAAAAACATTATTACAAGGTAATGGTTTATAATTCCGTGCAATTCGAACTAAGAACGATCTCGCATAAACAACTCTAAAATTATTGATATGGTTATTTGAGAATTCCTTGTTGAATGGGAAAACATTAACATTTTGTATAGCAATGATGATTTGTACAAGAAGTGTTCTATGGGAAACAAATTCAGTAAAAGCATACCCAGAGGAATATAGTTTTTGCAACCTTCAGTAAAAGCTATCAATTTGGTAGAAAATTGCTTGGAAAAAGTCACCTGTTTCAGTTTACTGAACAAATTTTTCCTTTAATATCTACTGACAATATCCAGTACAATTTCGTACAAATAATTGCAGGACGAATTGTATGAACTATGATTTTTCGACACACAGAATTTGTCCACTCAATCATGAGCTAAGTATTCGATCCACATTTTGTACCCAACAACTTAGTCTGGTACAGAAAAATGAAACAAATTTAGAAATATAACACCATGTACGAACTTAACTTATTATTGTAAAATTTGCAATGCATTATTCTTTTCAAATTTTAGTACATGGAACGTGGCATTGTTTGTCACTGGGGTTATATGCAATTAATTTATGCTGCTCTTATACAGTTCCAAGTTTGCTATAAAATCCAAAACAAATATGCACATAAGTGTTGGTCATTAGATGCTTATGGCAAATATAACTTCCGTTCAAATCTATGCAAGTCTACATTTGATGCTACTCTGGAATATGAATACTGCGATGAATTCGATATGAAAAATGTAATTTTTGGCTTTTGGAAATTGAGATTGGGTTTAAGATTCAATGCAAATAATCTATATATATTGGAAAAAAGATTCAAGAATCAATGGGGAACTGAAAGCACCTTTGATCAAACATCTAAAGTTAAAAAAGCCTTGCTGAGAGTCTAAATGAAAACACTGTACAGATGTTAAAAGAAGGATCATTTAATGATGTGTTTGTTGTACTTAGAAATAAAAATATGTATATAATTAAAATATATTAAATATGTCATTCCGTTTGTAGCACCTCTGAATATTCGTCGTAGATCCCATAAAGTGTATATATTCATGATCAGCATAAAATTACTAAGTTCGTAATGTTTAATGTTTTAGCTCCGGTAACAGAACATTGAATATCTAGGTCCACGTTTTCCTATGGCACACATATAACGTTACCTTCGGATATTCGTTATTTTGATGATTTAATCCACATTTTGTAAAAGATTTGTGTGAAATTTGGTATTTCTCATATCCATTACTTATACTTTAAATAAATCCTCTTAAAGTAGATTAAACCTGCAAAAAGTTTTAACCTAACTAGCAATAGATTATTATAGATTTTAATCTAGATTATTATTGCCTATATAGGCTCCTATTTTTGTATGGCACCCGTTTTCGTATGGGCCCCATATAGCAGCTCCAATCACTATATGTTTTTTTTTTTTTCAAAAACTGCATTCTCCTACCGATCTTACATACTGGAGTTTGTACTTTAAGATGGAACACGTTTAAATCCAGATACTTTTGTATTAAAGTGTTTTCTTTACCTAATTGTGGAGGGTAGTAGTGGTCCGTAGAACTCAAATACCTTTTTCTTGTTTCTTATATAAAAGCGACAAAGTAACGTTGATGAATTTGACTGTTCAGAATAGTAGTTTCAAACTTCTGTATTTATCTTCAGACCTTTAATATTCAACACTTATTGAATTGTAAATTTGTTTTATTTCTGAAACAAATAATATGGCAAATATTCACAAATTATTCGATTACAAAAATTAACTGTCAAAAGAAATGCTATCCGTGGGAATAGAATTCCGAGCGGATATTCAAGAATGGACATGGACAAAGCGACTCAAACAAGAAACTGAGACCTCCATATGTAATCTTTTGTTTATTGAAACAGTACAAAACGTTTGTATTTATGGACATTCGAAAATAAGCCGTGCGGTCGGCTTATTCAATTCAAATAAGCTTTCTTTTGTCTCTGAAATGGGCTAAAAAATACATTTCAATAAAACTGATTTTATTCGTTTGCTTCTCTTTCGAGACGAGTTAAACTGCCTGAAATTTGTTGCGAAAATGAAAGGCAGAGAGACCATTATCACACCGCCTTTATTCGGAAAGTAGTATTTGAAAGTTACTGCCATAAAACATCTCGAACTCGTTCGAGAAAACATTTTATCGCTGTAATCACTATTTTATGCGCATTGCAGCGATAGTAGGCTTTTGCAGTAATTAGATGAAAACAGCGTTACTTATGAACATTGAAAGCCCACATTGGAAAATGACAAGAGACCGATTTTCTTCTAACTTCGAGCTGCTCCTTAAACTCCGTCCCCTTCATTAATTAGTTTTTTTTTTTAATAATCTAACTTTCTTTCCTAATATTCTACTTGGATAGAAATGAGTTCTTTAGACATTGCAGGCACAGAAAATGTTGTGTGGGTTGTGTTGCCAATACTAACACTTAACACCTGAAGCTGAAGCTAACTACTTCGGCTAAAGCTGCAGTCTGTGAGAAAAACCGGATATTCACCACCTTAGCTAGCCCTCTGCATTCCTCTTACCTATCGTAATCCTTGGCCTTAATACGACTCTTAATTTCTTCGCTGACTAGGGCACAAAATTGCAAAGAGGTCTTGGGCGTGTAGTTGAAATTCAATAACGCTTCTTCCATTACCGTCCTGATGATGTTTTCACATACTTCCTTATTCAGTGGTCGCATTGCTTCAAGACGATATGAGGGCATATAACGCACCGACGTCTGAAAAACCAATTGATTGGCAAGTTAAATCTCCATTCGTTTGAATATAGGGCTGAAAGAAAGTATCGATTTATTAATAACCCACCTTTGCTGTTGCCAACATAGTAGTAAAGGCCGCCATCTGAGTATTCCGACTCGTCTTCTGTAAATAGACACGTTACACTAATAAAGTTAATTTGATTTAGTTCATATTGCGTGATAAAGTTACATTTGTTTTGTTACAATTATGCTTTATTTAACTTCTTAAAATGCAAATTGATAAGAACCATAATTCTGTGGCGCGCGGTTTTTCTATGGAGACGCACGGGTTGAAGCACACCTTACCTTTCCCCTCCTGTATACTGATTTAAATGAAAAACCTAGATAAATGTGATACTGGATTTCTGGGGTCAGATTACGTTCAGCCAAACGAACGCAATGCCAATAATAAACTTATTGATTACCCAAACTAACTGCCATTTCACCCCAATAAATACCGAGCGTAGGTACTTCGGAATGAGTAAAATGCGTCGAAGAGTATTTGGCAATTCTGCGTCTTAATTTTCGTTTCTCATCGTCTGCTTTTCTTTAATGCCATTTATTTCGATCTCTGTATACTCACACTTTGTGGAGTTTCACTACCGCACCACGTAGCACAAGGTTCTCTCTGTAATTGTTAATGTAAGCTAGACTTAGATAAATTAATATAATAAAATCAGTCAATAAAATGACACAAAACCCAGTGAAGTGTGTCTTTTTTTAATTGTTATGTGTTTTATAAATACATTGAAGAAAATTAAACAAAATATTTTCAAAATCAATGATTGGAAGAAACGCACACTGCGAGAAGTGCATTAAGATATTAACCTGTTTTGCCAGGGAATTGAACAGTTTTCGAAGGAAAATCCGGGCATTTAATTCATCTTTCGCGAGGAAAAATATCAAATGAATGAAAACAACTTGTTGCGTGTAATTTTAAATAATGCTTAGAGGAAGCGGACATTGGCTGAACTTTAACGAAGCTGTTCTATTTCGTCATTGTACCATGACAGGATGCAATCAATGCCTTTTGCAATAGTTTTAGCGAAATATTTCCAGAAGCTCAAAAAGGATATTCCCTCATATATAACACATATACCTGTGAAACTTATTTTCCCACATATCTCGGAGTTTGTTTTGGAATTGTTTAATGTAAATGTAATGTATATTTTTGCCAATAAAACATACATTTTATTCACATTATACAGGCTGTTAACAATTAACACCAAATAAAGAGCTTGTGATTCCTCCTTCACACCTCGAAAAATTCATCGCAGACCCCATAACGTATTAAGCAAAGTAGTTTCTATTGTGTCTAGGAGGGTTGGTATTGAAAATGAGGTATATGGCTCCACGTTTTCATATAGCGTCCATATAACTGTACCTTCGGATATTGGGTATTTTGACAAATTAAGCCACACTTTACATAGGATTTGCCTAAAATTGGGTATTTGTTGTTCGAAATGGGTTATACAACCGGTGTCAGAATCGCCTATATTCGTTCTTTGGTGACCCTAGCCAGATTTTGCATGAAATTGTTTTAAATTTTGTATTTAAGACTCGCAATAGATCCTTGTAGTAGAAATTTGTCTCTATAGATCCCGTTTTGGTATAGTCCCCGCTGGTATTTGTTTTTTATTTATTTTATATATATATTTATATTTGTTAAATTAAATATTGAATTATGTTAAGTGTTGGCATTTTTTTTTTTTTTATCTGAGGATGAATATGACTGATTCCAAGTAAGTAGAAGCTAAAATTAATAGTTTTTTTTTTTTTTAATTTGTTAGTTACTTCAGGCTTAGTAAGGATGTGTTCAAATATGTTTTGGCTCAAATCACCCCAGACCTCCGTCGGCGTGTAAAATCTACAAGTGTCCCAAACATACTAAAACCAGTAACAATTCGAATACTGGCTGAAGGAAGTTATCAAAAGAGCGCTGGCAACGATTACCATGTCAGTTTATCACAGTCGTCTGTCAGCAATGTGTTCCGCGAGTGCATAGAAGTATTGCATAATAAGCTGTGTCCAAATTAGATCTCATTTCCCCCTACAGAAGAATAGAAATATGAAATTAAAGAGCATTTTTTTTGAACAATACTGGATTTTCTGGTGTGATTTGAATTTGTAGTCGGACCATACTTTCATCCAGGCCTCGCCTGTTCGAGCCCGGCGGCCCTAGGATATTGTGTTTTGCACCAATTTTGCTCCATTATTCCTTGATGTTATTTTTTTTAAGCCATTGCAAACTTGGATTCATTTGCAAGATCTGGATCATTTCGTCAAGTTGTTTTTTTTTTTGTTGTGACTTTATATCTAAAAAAGCGAAATGTTAATAGATATACATACATATATAGTTTTGTAATGTTAATACATACTTCTTATTCACATCCACTTTTTATACTATTTATTCTTTGGTAATATCAATTTGGAGGAACTTTTGTGTGTTGTCGGCAACAAAATCTCTAACGACTAATTTTGCAGCGTTAGAACGCCTCTTGTAAATTGAATTGTAATTCTCGCATACGACACACATGGCTTTGGAGGCTTTAGTATTATGGTATGAAATGAATAAATAAATAAATAATGCCAATTAGTCGTTACGACGCATCAATTTGCAATTTTCGATACGACTACGCCAAACGTAATAAGGGTGATTACTTTTCAATTCAATTAACACCGTTACCTAGCCCATAGGGCCATGGACGGTTCCAAAAACTTCTATACATGACTACTCTAGAAATTTGTCTCTATAGATTCTCGTTTTGGTATGGTCCTCACTGGTATTTGTAGTTTAAAGTAGTACTCGTCTGAATCCAGATACGTATTATTTTTGGTAGGGGTACTTAAAGTTCGGCCCTTTTTACTTGTTAATGTTTCGAATGTTTCCTCATTTCATTTAAATTTTTATTTCAAAAAAATAAATTTCCAAAGAAATACAAACACATGATGATAACATTTATTTTGGTACATTTATTAATATATTGCGGGTATGTTGTAAACATGTAAATAAGTATACAGTTCCATTAAAATTGTTAATAATATATGTATGTATGTCTGTATAATCAGTGTGCAATTAAAAAATAAAATTAAACTAAATGTATAACAAAAATGGAGTGGGTGAGTTTGCTGTAGCCATTTTCTAAAGAAATGATGATTAACTTTTATTAAAGCTTTTTAGTTTAGTCTTAAACGTAGTTTTTTGTTAATGCTAAAGGAAAATAGCATGGCGACGCCTTATTTTCTCTAGAGACATTCACATTTGTACATACACATATAAACATTGATGTATATATATATACACAGATATAAGATAAACATTGATAACGTGCGCATATTTAAGGTGTTGTTATGCATTTTGGTGGGAATATAAGCTAGCCTATTATAAGTGCTGCCACACATTGTTAGTTAGTGACTATAAATATTTATGCTCGATGCCGAGTTATGAGAATACGTAGAACAATAAATATCAGGTAATAATAAAATAATCAAGTGCGTGTCGTCAAGAGTTTTTTTTATATATTATATGTGATATCGAACATTTGTGATAACTGAAATGTCCGATTCGCTATTTAATAGCTGCGTTTGGTCCAGTTGATATTAATATAAGTTCACAATTATTTTGAGCCAACATCCTGTTATGGGTTTTAATCATTTGATCGGATTTTTCGGAGGGATCCTCGGTTAAATTTGCATATAGATTCGAGCAATGCAGATCGTTCAGGTTCAGCACTTTCATTTTCGTCCGATGCTATATTGGGAGACGATGATTGTCTGTCCACACTGACAACAGGCGACGCCTGCATCAGCGACGTTTTCTGTTGTTGGCGGGTTTCGGATTCGTTGCACGTTTGGTACGCCGAGGGTGTTAGTGGAGGAGCTATAAATAAGACTTGACTTAGATAAGATTGTTTCATAAAAAGCAACAAAAAATATGTGTAGAGACAAAACAGTAATGAAAGGCCTAAAGTCGTTCGGGATACTATATATGTAATACGTATTCAATCGACGTTTTTCACCGCTCAGTAAAACACATGTATTTATATGAATTTCACCCAAATACGTCGTGCATACGAGATTTGGGTGCATTTAAAAAAGTATTGATTGTTACACCCTTACCAGTTTGTGGATGTTAGGATATGGACCCGGCGTATTTGGGTAGTTCGGACGTACAAAACATTTTACCATCCTAATTTGAATCGGTTTTCATGGTTTGTACTTCCAAATCTAAACCGACTGTCAACTACATCAAAGTCCACGGACAAATATGCAACTATCCCTTATTTATTCAATACGCGGTTAAAATAGTGTTGTCAGTCGAAAAAAGATGTCATGTCAATAAAAGAAATTTGGGTTCAAATGCATAATGTTGGCTCATTCGTAAAGAATACATTTGTTTCCCTCTCTTTTTTTGTCCATTTAAAGCTGTATTTGACGATCGAACATATTCTATTGAGCAGTTTTATAAAAGGGATTATTTTCAAACGTTTATGAAAGTGTAAGCTACAAGTTTTCCGACGCAGCGCCGATAGACGAATCGTAGAACCATATTATAAAGTTCCACCAACATACTCTATTTCCAATATCGCAGAATGATAATACAGAATGATTTGTCCTTCTTTCTTAATGCATGAACAATTCATAAATTAGCAGCAAAAAGTATGTCATAGTGATAGATTGATACTTTGGAGTCTACGAACGCCATCTAGTGACGAATACCCATTTCTGTCGATTGTTTTAAATCTCGATATTAATAACATAATTCTTAAGAGATATTATAAAAGTAGAGCTAAAAAGAGAAGACACGTGCATCGACGTTTTAAAAACTAACAGCGTAAAGTTTTCGGATTAAAATTACTTGAAATTTCTTCATTTTAGATATAAAGTGTTTCTGACAATATTGCTGGCTACAATACAGGGATTATTTTGTTTGTCAATTTTAACACTCAAGCAGATCAACAAAGATAATATTTAGAGGCCGTCAAAGACAAAATTTTACTCCATCAAATTCGGCTACACAACGTATATTAGAGCCGCTGGACGACTCGAAGGCAAGCTCGAAAAAAAACTCCCATTCCGTGATTACTAATTTAATAAGAATGCTGCAAAATGTTTATATTCGGTTTGTGGTCCAAACTGTTTGAGGTCCTTTTGTAGATATCACCATGATACAATTATTACAAGGTAGCAGAAAAAAATGAGGCATATCACATCTATATGTGTATTTTTGTTTCAATTTAAAAAGGATGTGTGCTGCATTTGACAACCAGGAGGAGGATATATCTGAAAGTACTGTAATTTTACATTCTAGAGATATTTGTTTTCACTTTTGAATGTAATAATTCAAATACATTATTATATTCAAATTTTGAAATTACAATTTTACTTTTATTAAAACATCGAACGTTTATTAGTGGAGAAAGATGGTAATGCTTACCAGGGGGTGAGGCAGGGTTATATCATAGGTGTTATTTTTAAAATAACTCCTGGGGAGAATATACCAGACAAAAAACAAGGGAACTGATGAGGATTGGTGGCTCTATCCGAAACCTAGGTATTTCCTGTCTTACCCCTGGTAAAAATGACCATCTTTCTCCACCATAAACAAATGTTGTTTTTATAAAAACAATTATCATGGGATTAAGCCTGACTATTTTGCAACAACAAAATTCTATGGTATCCCGGACAAACATGCCAACACTGTTCTATTTCCTTTTACCATATCATACACAATCGGATCCCAATGTTTTGAGTAGTATTTTGCAATATTTGAAATTTTATAGAGAGCAAGAGACATATCTTGCGTATTTTTTACGTTTTAATAATATTTTCCATTTTATTTAGTCAAATTTTAGTATTTTGAGCCATCAGTAGCATTGCCGAATACACAGTATGCATATATGAATGCCAGGATTTGGATTTACTGCGTTATCATTGCTATTGCATAAATCCATCTTGTACTAATCCCAAATATCCCACGGACGTGACGTACTTTTTTTTCGGTCTACCTATGGCCCACACCATTGTCTTCGGCAGTCATGCAATTGCTTCTCAAATTTATATCTTCTACATATCAACAACAATGGACTAGAAGCCCTTAAGTCACCAATAGCTGCTAACATCAATGCTATGTATAATTTTATAAATAACGTTCCTTTTATTATATAAGTTATTTCGAGAATAATTTGTAAATCAGTGGAATAAGTATCAGTTGATGGCCTCCGAGGCCAATACTAACATTGTATTTACTAAAACTTAATTCTTTAAATAAATATTTAATCCGAAACTTTACAAATACAGAAAGCGCATGTTGTCTATTGTAAGTTCTAGTTCAAAATCCACTGGGTTTTTCTTGTAATTACAGGAAAATTTTAAATATCTTCGCACAGTGTAATTGAAGGACATTTAATCTTGAATTTAACAACTATGTTAGTATTTATATACATACATTTTATGTCATGCAACATATCTTGGGAATCATTATTTCCTATGATGCTATTCATACGATTTAAGGAACGCGATGTTGTGTCTGAAGACTCGGTGATGGATCCTCCTCCATGGCCCACGCTGGCTAATGCAACTTTTCCATTGCTATTTTGCAATGATATCTGCTGTTTGAGCTTCAACTGTTTATGGTCCTGTTTCTAAAAAAATAAAATCATTTATATAAAAAAATTATCCGATTCCATGTTTTTCTTATTCTTAATAAGATAGGCAAAGAAAACCCGAAATGTCGGTTGATATAAGTTAAAACATTTTTTTTTTTTTGATAATTAAGAAATAGTTCATTGAGAATAGGGGAAAATGGGGTGGAGTATCTGTTCTATTTAAAATAGAAAAGACAATTCACATCTCCCACTTGTTCAATGGAAAGTCATACCGCTTTATGTTTCGATTTCCGTTTTTCTTCCTCACAACTCATCAGCTCTTGTACGCGCACAATACGCTTTTGATTTTTCACGGATTTTTGTTCCTCGCGTAATCTATTTTCCGTCTTTTGGATAGCTAACTTTATAGCTTCTTTGGCATTTATCGACAATTTAAATTGAGACCTGGCAATATCGTCCTCTGAAGATTTTCTGCACGTTTCGCTTGCAGAATATTCTTTGAAAAATTCGTGATTACTCAATTGTTCCAGAGATGGCAATCCTGATTTGCAGGCCTCTTTAGACAATATACTCTCCAGTAAATGCTCTAAGATATTAAAGACCCGGATTAATATACGAAAGAGATAAGTTTTAAAAACTGACTTACTCAAAACATCCGGGCAGTCGGTTATTTGTCTAGCTACGGACTCCTGCATCGGGTAACCCATTGACATTTCAAATAATATATGGCCAAAACAATAAACATCTATAGCTTCTGATTTGTAAATTTTACCATGCTGTACAAAAAATGGCCGGTAAAAGGAGGGAACACCGAGTATATAGTTCTCTACATCTAAGAGCTTTACACAATCATCAACAATTACAATGTTTCCTGAATGCAAATGGCCTATGAAAAAGAGACAAATGTTCTTTTCAAAAATGTAGCATAAAAATATGTTTGCTGTCTCACCGTAGGGATAGCCTTTGGAGTGTAAGAATATTAAGACATCTAAAATTTGTTTTCCATAAATCGCCACTTGTTTCATAGACAGCGCGGTCCGTCCTTTGGGATTACCGTATTTACTTAAGAAAGGATTCTTTGGTGTTGCCATGCATAAAATGTCCTTGAGTGATCCATGCTTATGAAATCTACATTAAAAGTTTTTTTGTACTTCATTGTTGTATGTTTGATTTTGATATTCTTACTTCCTTATCACGAGACATCCGTTTTCGTTATGCGCTGCATACTTGGGTGATTCTATGTTTGGATGTTGCATATTAACTAGACACTTCAGAATGCCACCTAGTTCCTTGTCTTCAATATATTTATCAGGTCCGTATTCCAGCCACTCCAAAACTAATTCGGTTGCCTCTGTGTGGGAAGAATCATTGGCGTGATCTGATTTGGAGCCGTTGCTGCCGCTACCAGTAACGGATGACTGTTTTACATGTGCGTGGGTCTGGGACCCACTTTTTACTAATGCTTTACTGCTCGACTTGGAATCTGGGGGTTTCGGTGTAACTTTAAAATAATGCTTTCTCAACCGCCATCCAATTGCCCCCAAAGTGGTGCCTAGTGACCACAGTCCTTCACTTCTAAGGCAGAGTAGTGCGTTTTGGACAGCTTGGTCTATGTGAAATAAAATTTCATACTGTACATTTAGAATCAAGGATTCTTTGGCACAAGTGCATCATACGTCAGAATGCAATTTGTGAATGCCGTTTCCACACTTAACAGCAACTACTTACCATGAAAAGATTGTGAATAGCTATCAGGGTCAACGAATCGCTTCGCCGGTAGCGAAGAAGCCAAAATTGGATTCATTAGTACAGTGTTTATGTAAATTTGCAATTCTCGTCTACGTTCAGCTATAAAGTCGGGGCGCATATTACCGAAGAATTTTTTACCAGGTAATGGTAGGTTGATTCCCGAAATAGAGAGGTGCTTCTGTAAGTCAGCAAAGTCATTGTACCGTCGTAAAACTCTCCACGTATGCTGTTTTAAGTAGCCGCGGCTTAAACGCAACAAATATTCCTGTAGAAAAAATCCCAATAACACAAGTGAAATGCATTCACAAGCAATATTTTATGAAAGTTGTTCTCCGAAATGCAGTTCTTGAGCCAACCACGAAAAAAACCCATTCGCTTTTTTAGTTATGATACAACAACATAAGTTGCACTCATTAATTTAAATTACATAAAACAAAACCGCCAAGATTTAATAGTTAACATCGCATTTGCTCATAGAACAGGTTGTGTTGTGTCTAAAATTTCAAACTAATAGACATATTTGATCATTCAATAACAATAGGTGTGTACAATAATCCGATATTTCGTACAAAATGTTGTTCGATAACCCAAAAGTCCAGTAAATGGGAGGCGAGTGTAGAGAGCTATTTTGACAACTGACAATTATGAAATATTACTGAAAAAAATACTCAGAATTATGTAGTGGCCTGAGCTAATTTTAAATCGACCGAAATAATTTTCCTATTTTTCAGAAAATAAGAATTCAAAATTGTTTTATACCAATACATAACTAATTTTCCACTATTAAATTGCAATTTTGATTGCATTTTCTCAATATATAAAAAAAAACTTCAGAAAGAAATTAATTATACACTATAGAAAATACACCGGGGGTTTGAGGCTTTCTTCTTTGGGGTATGTCCAACGCCTGCTTCGCGAACCAAAAAGTAGACGGCTTTTGGCCGGGACTTGGGGTTTTTCCTCTGAGGTATGTCCAACACCGGCTTCGCGAACAAAAGTTTACTTAAATTTAATATTTTTTAATTAATCAACAAAATATAAGCATGACACTTTTTGGAACCCAATATTTCGGGAAGTGTGGACCCACCTCCCGAGAATGCTTTGTTGTTGTAATCAGGTGCAAGAACCAAAAAAAGATATTGAAGTTTTTATTTCCATTATTGGTTTCCAAACAGCAAAGTGTATTTTTGATACTTTGGAAATCTATATCTCGGGAAGTATTGATATCCCCCACCAAAAAAAAAAATATGTCTTTAACAATTTCAGAATTTTCCGCCAGTTTCAGCAAAACTCAATCTAAGCAAAATAAAATTAAGCGATGTTAGCTACTTATGCTTATAACTCAAGAACGGCTGGCCTAATCTAGACAATTCTCTTAGCAGAAATTGCACAATACCAAATGGTGAGCTTTTCTGACAAGTGTTCCAATACCTGGTGCGTGATTCCGCTGGAAGATGCTAAGGCATTCAACGCATCCAAAATCGCCGACACAGCTGTATGGGACTCATATCAAAACGGAACAATTTTTATACAATACACTATTGCGCCAATACAATCTAGGTATAAGGAGACGAGTATTAGGTGACTGCTTGGGAATCCTCCTAGACTGGAGAGCGAATGCTATTGACTCGATTTCATTTTCTAATTACAAGCTTAATCTATCTAATTATGAGTTGGCATAAGAGATTTATTTTATGATTATTAAAAAATATACATAGCGTAGTTAAATATCAATAGGTACATATCTGTTAATTACCGTATGTCCATTAACTTCTTGAGCCGTTTCTATAATGCAGTTTATTTCTTGTGTATCATCACTTCGGTATTCATCCTCAAACCGTTTCCCAAATATATCCATTGAAAGAAGTCATTTTAATATCGAATTATATGTTTATGAATTTGAAAAAAAAAAAATATTGAAACTTTAATTTTTATATATACTTTGGCTAGCAAATAATAATTATTAGATCTGGCAAACAATCGATGACAATGCCGATAGTATCGATTCTTTATTTCAGAAGTAAGTATCGATTGATAGTTTTCTCTAACGTAATTATCGGACGAAATGTCAGTAATGGGAGAGTGGAAAAATGTATTTTGGATTGACAAACCAAAAGCGTTGAATCTTAATAATTGTTCTATTCTTGAAAGAGGAAGAAGGTACTATGGTCATTAGCTACTACATGTGCTCTGTTTTTTTACATTTTTATTAAAAAAAATTAATTAAAAACATAAACCATGTTCCGCGGATTCATAATTCCTTATCTATATTTGACACTTATTTTATTTTTTATTTTTATCTTTACTTACTTTTCATTTATCCATTTTTTAATGAGTTTAATAGTTTTGTTTTTTAAATGTCAAAACATCTCTCATTTCGCGCTCGCTTACAAGACTTTTGCGTAAACGAACAGATTCCAGTAAAATTTCTACAAACTAACGAGTAAACGAACACTTCTATCGCTCGTAAAACACATGCATATGTAATATAATAATTGCTATGTCCTACCTTGTCTTCCATGGTAGAAGAATATAGGTAGATGCATCAACGCTTGCGAACATTGATATGTCAAAATTTTAAAATTGTTTTGTCAAAAATAAGTAGATTTTTAAATATATTCTTTTACATAATGCATTTCCCAACAATTTTTACAAATTTTAATAATTTTTCATTCAAATTTTCAATTCCAAAATCGGTTTGACAGTTCATTGTCCCAGCAGCTGTGTCGAAGCGACTATGTTATGTGTGCATATGCTCGGCATACGATTAGGCCATCCGACTGTCACAGAGACTCCCAGGGCTAGGGATCTCAACCCGCCAATCGAATCCAACACACTAACATTGAAAGGGGACTTTACTACAATTGCTCTACTCTACGATATACAAAATAGGAGTCATCATACAGGGATCTCGGTGGATCGATCCCACACTCGCCCACCCTACCTGGATCCAGTATTTCCATTTCTTGCGTTTCTCTGAATCCCCTTGAGCCACACGCTTCGAATCACACACTTACTTCATACCACCTTCCCCCCAAGTTATACAAATTTAGCAACACATATTAGTATCTACTGTTTACAAAAGAATCATTTTTAATTTTATTAAAAAAAATAAGTTAGCTTTAAATATTTTCTTAATTTTTTTCTCTACTATTTTTTTTCTTACACTAAAATTGACAAACTGTATGGTATAAAAAAAAACAAATTAAGAATAATACCGGGCTTTCTTAAATCTATGGCTTTAATTACTCGGTAGAAACCAATATATTATCCTTTGCCTTGCTTTTCCCGCGCAATATTCACGCGTCTATACGAAATTACTAGCCACCTAAAAGAGCTCTCTTAACCGGCCTAATTGCCGCTAAAATTCCACGGCCTAAACTATCAGATCGAATCACAAGGACTCAAGATAATTTTACTGTAACACCTCCTAGCCTTTGAAAATAAACGCGGTATTTTTCCCTTACAAACTGATTATTACTTAAATCCTAAGAACTATAACCTATCTTATTACTAAATCTTTATACTGAATATTATATTTTTTTTTTCTCGAAATTTATGATTATTAACTCTTTTTTTTTTCTTTTCTTTTAGTTCCAAAAAAGGAGACAGCAAATTTTATGGACGTCACATATATATAAATATATCAAGGACAACACAACGGTAAGACACCTTTTACCTGAGCAGTGATGTATAACGTTATTGATTAATTCTTCTTATCTCTTCTTCCAGTTTACGCTTCTTTCCGGAGGAAACAGATTTTGAACGCCAGACAAACCCTCAAATGAAGCTGGACTTGTTGACTGGTCCTTTTACAATGCCGGCGTTCTGGGCGGGATCAATAACAGGCACAGCAAAAAGCTCAAAGTTGCAGCTGGCCAGTTTACAATTCAAATCTCCACACCCTCAATGTAACTTTTTTTGGCTTTTTTTTTCCTGTGGACAACTTGCCACTACCTTGCGTTACCAAAAAGAAAAGGCAATTTCCCGCCGTTGTGCTGACCAAAACCGGACAATTTTCGGTGCTTCCAAAAAAGCTTGATACACCACCGGAATATTCACAATAAAAAAAATCGCAACACACAAATTAAATTTTTCCACTTCTGCACTGCTCTCTTGCTAAGTTTCACCGGTAACGTCTTATTCTTCTTTGGCTTTTCTTATGCTCGCAGCCTTTTATACCCCTCTTCTCAGTGAATCCCGCCAGACGCTCATTTTCCACGAAACACCATTTTCCTGAGCCATTTTCAATTTTCATTCCTTTTTCTTTTCAACTGTCAATAGCCATTTTTTATTCTATTGTGAATTCTCATTTCAGCTCACCCCGGAGTAGTAGTAGGTTCCCACCTACTCAGCAATCATAGGGCTGCCTAGTCACTTCTTAGCCTGAGTCACCCTGTCATTCACTACCTTTATAATACTCTTTAACTCAACCCTGTTCGAGCCTAATTTCGTACGTAGCGAACCCTATCAAACCATTTCCGGCATTTTGATCCCATCGCCACCCAGACTACACACCCCGCAGAAATTACAAGCAAATTGAAATCTCGAAGCATCCTCACCATCCTCACTAAAAACCCAAGAAAACTGAGCAAATCCATTTGAGGACCAATTATGGGATGCACTACCAACAGAATTGGGATAATTTCTGCGGTGGTTGTGGACAGGTTTTGCCAAAAAACCCGGCCCCATATATTTGTTGCCTTTTTGCGCCGAATGTGAACGGCCTGCAACAAAACTTCAACTTCGGCCACAAAATCGAGGACGGAGGTGATGTGCACGGCCGCATTACTCATTTACGTGGGGACATCCCACTCCCTGAAGGTCTCATGCCGGGCATAAGCTCCGAACAGCAGGCTGGTCAAAGCCCTCCCCCTCATGCTGGTAAATATCCCCCATCGAAATAGAACCACATAAATTAATTTATTTTTCTAATCTGTCCATCAGATCTGTGAAACATGTCTTGCTAGTTCGCCTGATAATTCTCGATCCGACACCCTGAAAATATCGTGTCACTACCAAACATCGATCGAGTTCCGAGTCCGGGAAACTCGCTGGTAATTCCCCTATAGCAGGTCAACATTTGGGAAGATCAAAAACGCTCATAAATTTTACAATACGCATTCGGTTATTTATAAAATCCCGCATTCAGTATTTCTACTAAGACAAGTTCAGAGGAACGGATGGGATTTATCGGCCCACTCCTTTGGGACCTTCACTACAAAAAGGTAAACATCCGGAACAACCCAATAATTCTACCAACCCAAGACCTTGTGTGGAGTTGGAATATATTTGTCCTCTCTGGCGGATCCACACTGGTAACACCCAACAGCTCTAAATGAAAAATTCTCCGATTTCATCAAAATTTCACACATTCTTCTTGGTTATGGATATAATCTTCAAAGTTGGAATCTATACGTACTTTGATACACAAATAATTTGATCAAATTATTGAAATCATGGTACAATAAAAAAGTAAGGTAGATCTGAAAGCTGATTACAATTTTTTTCCCAAGTGTGCCCGACTTCTGTCATTATTGTGTATTATTTGTTTTGAAAATAAAAAAAAATATTTTCAAGGTCAATGTTTGGAAAAACGAACACTGCGTGGCCGGCGTTCAAAATATTACCCTGTTTTGTCCTGGAATTGAAGGAATAAACAGTTTGGATCACATTTTTGAAAAAAAATCCGTGCGTTCAATAACGCATTCAAAAAATAACAACAATTATCAAAACATTTTGTCGCATACAATTTTGAAGTATTTTGACAGAAAGCGGGCATAGCCCTAGGAATGTATTTCGGTACTTTTTTGTTTGTTTTGAACATTTAATAACTTTCATTCCTTAATAGGTGGTGAAACATTTTGCATGCGGAAATATTTGTGCCTATGCCTGTCTTGTCGTCGTGGTTGCCGAAGAACGGATTTTGTATGCGGTATTTGCTGATGTGATTGATAGGTAAACAAATACCATAATCGTGGTGTCTACGTGATTGTCTGGTAGAATGTAGTTTTATGTATGTTCGCTTTTTATGTATGGGAATCTTTCATTAATTTATGCCGGAATAAACCAGATTGTGCTATTTTTATCGCCACCGGGTGTGTTTGAGTAAAAATTTTTTTTTTTTTTCAAATTTGTATGTCGCGTAGAATATTTTGTAAAAGAAATTAGACAGCTGTGATAAACGTGAAACTAGAGTCTGATTACTTTGAATTACCCAATTAGGGGAACAGATCAGCTGATATTTTTGAACCTTAATACGAATGAATTCAGTACGAAGGTGATTTTACTATCGTATTTAGTTTCATCAGACACATTTTCTATGTTTTGTTTTGATTCATTCGATTTTGAATTAAACAATTGCTGATAAATGTGATATAGAATTGGTACCAAATGTGAAATAGTTTTTGAAAGTTATTTTAGAATTCTTTTTATAAAAATTGAATTGGGAAAGGGGATTGAACAGACTTTCTTTTCCACTTATCTTTTAAGATCTTTTGCATGACAGATTCCAATCGCCTTTCCATTTAGATCTTCGAGAGAATACATATTATTTCCTATGGGCTTTACTATACGACACTTCGTAAATTTCCGGGCAAACTTAGCATTAAAATTTTTCCCAAAATCGCTAAGAACATAGTTTCTTTTATATACCTCTTGCCCCGGAGAGAAAATAATCGTACGAGCCCTTGCGTTATACCTTTTTGCGCTTTGTTGATAAGCCTGATGCATATTCTGTCTAATTTTATTTCGGATTAGTTCCATCTTGTCGTTACGATCTAAATGTATAATTTCATGGTCCGCCAATGAGTGGAGCTTCCGAGCTAATTTATAATCTGAACCATGGGTATACATACTATGACCAAACAGCGCGAAAAATGGCGTTACACCAGTTGCAGTATGAATCGATGTTCTTAAGGCGCACTCTATGTCTGTTAGATACAGGTCCCAATCTCTGTGGTCATTTTCTAGATATGC